AAGATCTCAGGGATCTGCTGAATGAGCTGAGGAGAGCTGGGACCAAAGGAACAAAGGTACCATCAGTGGCACACTATGCCTAGAAGGACTCACATCCTGCAGGGGCAGGCATGTCCCCCTGGTAAGACAGAACATGGCCTGACCCGTCTGGAGTTTGCCAGAGAGCAGACGGGCGTTCCAGAAGAGGTTTAGGATAACACCATGGGATCCGATGTAACCAAAGTGGAATTTTTTGGCAGAAACTGAACTCATCATGTTTGAAGTAAGAAGAAAATTGAACTGCAACAAGAACAGCATGAGGGTGGGGTCATCATGCTTTGGGACTGTTTTCCTACAAATGAGACAGGATGACTGCGTTAAGTCAGAGTTAAGCCGGGCCTACACCATGCAATTTTTTACAGTCGTTGCACGGAGCTGCTGCTCACACTGTACGACTAATCGCAGGGTTTAGACGTACAGTGTGAGTTCACAGCTCACGATTTATGTTCATCCCAACATAGATTGATTTTCTCCCGACCTCACGATTCCCGATCAGGGGGTGGACGTGAGAGGCTGATCGCCCCTCTAAACCCCCGTACACTACACGACTGACGATCAGGCTGAAACTTGGCACGATTGAAAGATTCTCGCACGACTGGAAAGTCGCCCCGAAAATCAAATAAAAACAATTAAAAAAAATCAAAAAGTGTATGCCCGGCTTTATCGTATGTTTGAGACAATCATGAATGACAATCTACTTCATTCTAATACCAACTGGCCACAGCTCCAAAAACAATTCGGATAGCCGAAATGCAATTTATGACCAAGTTTGTGTTTTTTTTGTGAGCCTTTTTTTAACAACACGCATAGCAGTGCCAAATGATGCATTGCTAATGAAAGCCAACCAGACACTGAATCGGCGGAAGTCAAACATATTAGTAAACCTGATTTACAATCTGTCCTACCTTTGCAGGGGTTTTTTATTAATAAATATTTTCATCCGAATAAAAGTCAGTTTCTGGAATATTTCCTTATATAGTTTATTTTCATCTTAAACTTTCTTCTCTCTGTATCACGGTATGGCAGCATGCCCATATTTTGAAATTGTATTTGTGCGTAAATTATGGAAAATTCTGCTGCTCTTGCGTTTGATTTGCTGGGGCTTCTGTCTATCTCAAATTGGTCCACATTGTTGGATTCTGTAGAATGTGCATTTTCCAAAGAACTTTTAAGCTCCCTGATTGGACAAACGGTTATTTAGATACTTTTACTTAGCTTTATGTATATACTCTGTAATTACAGAATGTAAATAAATACTGCGAACTTGTGATTTTTGCAAGAAAACTGAAATTCTATAACCATATATACAGCATTCCAAATTTTAAATTAAAGTATGAATGCAAGATTTTTAGATATTATGCAAAACTTTGCCAAAACGGCACAACAGGAGTTGGAATTGATTTTTTTTTGCAATCTACACAATTATAACTTCTCAGTTGCTTTTTGGATGGACACCAAACTTGCTACATAAGTAATTGTGTCTTAAAATCTGTTGGGGGGGGGTATCTTATGCAGGCCAGTTAGTTATATGTCAGCCTGAACACCTAAATTCAGCCAATCATATATCAGCGGTCATCTGTCAATCAAATTTTTTTGGTCATAGCATCTTGATTCATATGTCGCAGCTAATATACGCAACGGTTGAAATAACAAATAAAGTGCTGGTTATACTCCTGCAGCAGTGTGACCCAGTGAGCTTGACGCAGACATTTTTCATTTATGCCCAGTATTGAAGCGTGGTCTGCGCTATACGCTGTGGGTCTAGATACGGCTGAGGCGGTGAGGGAGTGGGGGCAAGTTTGTCCAACAACGGAGGGACATGAGGGCGAAAAAGAGCGGGGATCCAGGTGGAAAAAGGGTCCCAGCGTTCTCGCGCAACTCACTCTCCTAGCTGGTACAATTTCATGAGTTGTTTTCCACAATTTTGGTCATAAAAACAAAACAAGCCGGCCTCCTGTCTGCGGCACTGTCTGCGGTCAGCTAACAGAACTGGCAGCGTTGTGAGGCAAGGGCTCAAACATGTACGGCTGGAAGCATTCTACACCAAACCAAGCTTCTGCCGCCCTGGCGTCCTCTTTGAAACATCTTCGTTCCCACTTTCCTCCTCTAAATAAAAAATGTATGACCGAGGAGACTCATCCACGACCTCCTACACTAAACTCTCCTCCTCTTGCATGTTTCCACTGTCCATAGCTTTCCTTGACAGTGCCATTTCTAAGTCACCAATTTATTGCTACTTGGTCCCAATATAATTTCCCATTGGTAACCTACTAGCACTAAATTGCTAACTGGTTAACAAGATGCTTCAGAGAAAGCGGCAACAATCAAACTTGTTTGCGAACCTTCCACCACAATAATCTAGCCTCCTTGATAAATGACCAATCACATTCACTTTATTCACTCGTGTAATGTCGGGCACCACTCGGGAGAATTCGGAAATGCAACACTTGGAACAGCCGTTTCCCTACGACTTTAAACCTTATTTACTCAGGCCCAGAATAATTTACTTTCAGATTTTCCCTAAATTCGCAGTTTAAGCAGTGCATACATTGAGAAATGCATTATAAAGTATGAATATGCCTTTTTTGGAAAACAGACCTGCGGGCTTAAGAGGCTAAGAGAAAGCAACAGTTATCCCTTCAACTGCAAAAAGTATCATTTAGTGATCATAATCGGACTAGTAACATTTGTTAGTCACTTTTGATGATAACATAATAAAACATTAGAAAAAAAAGAAAATAGTCATGTATTTCACTTCAAATATTAAAACTGCTCATCCTCATAATTTAAAAACCTATATATCATACCAGACGTATTTTCTAAACAGCATAATTTGGGTTTTTTTTGTGATTTAAAAGCGTGATGAGCTCTGCCCAATAAGTTTCAGCGTGCAGCACTAGACAGCGGAAAGGCAGAAATTCAATGCTATCTACAGCCAGAGGAAAATCTGGAGCCTTTGCAACTATTTCTGCCTTATCCTTGAAAGTACTGTTATTTACAGCCGCCTTGAACTTTTTAAAGATTGCACCAAAGTAATGCACCTTGATAACTGCAACCAGCATGTTTGGTGCATGAGGGACATTGCGATAATATACAGAAAAGATGAGATTAACAAGTATGTGGGGATTTCGTAATTAATCATCAGAGTATTGAACAATAATACTGTAATTGCATGTTTCCTAATATTTTAAAGCTTTTATTAATCATTTAGTATATTCTCATGAAACAATACATGCAGCATTCATTCTTGATAGAAGATTTTTACATAAAGCTAAATTTAAAATATACATTTGTCCATTTTATTAAGAATACTTACACTTCTTATTAGGGCTGGAACTAACAATTATTTTGCAAATCTATTAATCTGTTGAATTTTTTTTCGATTAATCGATTAATAATCAGACAACAAAAGGTTCCTTAAAGAAGACTTTTTAAGAAATTAAACCAGGTGAACCTAAAACTTTTCCACTTGTCAAGTTCTGGATAGAGCATATTAAGGAATGATTGTCTTGTGTTCCTCTTAAATGCATAATGTGTTTTTTTTGTTTTTTTACAATCTTGAGTGGGTCGCTCTGTCGGCTAAAGGCTTGTTTTAGAGTCTCTATACTCCAGTTAACAATTAATTGACTATTAATTTACCTGTTGATTATTTCAATAATTAAGTAATCATGATTAATCTGATAAATTGTTCCAAAAAAGTTTAAAAAAAAAAAAAGACAAAAAAAAAATCCACTGGAGTTTCTTTTAAAGTTTGAAGATATTTTTCTTCCAATCAAGGAAGTTTTTTTCAATTCAAAATAAAAAAAAGCCGATTAATTGTTTCACCCTTATATCTGATTATGATTTTTTTTAATAGTAAAAATGACAAATCGGCACCAATATGGGTTGATAGGATTTAAACAATGTGATCTACACTTATTTTACACTTTGAATTTGGACTGAAATGTGACTTATGGATCTTTTTCCAAAGTTATAAATAATAAAAATACAAAAGTGCAGACATTAACACTAAACTGAGCAGCAGATCAAAGTACAAGCCAAGATCCTTATAGAGGAAAATATGTAACCAAGTCATACAGCAATTTGAAACTCTAAAAGCATCAATAAAGTGAACAATTGCAACCTTCTTACTTTTCCTGCATGGCTGTGGCACTATAATGCGGCTTTATAAGAGTTTATAACTTCACATATATCTAAATAAACTTTATTTTACATCATTTTCTTTTCATTATCAAAATAAATAACTAAATAAAATATAAAATAAAAAACTGTGACAAACACCTAGAAGTCTTAGTAAATACAGAAGTAGCAATCTAATCTAATCTGTATTAGAGCTGAGACTACAGAGCCAGATCATTTCCTGGAACATCTACTGTAAAAACAACAACAAAAAGAAACAATCAGCTATAAACTAATAAGTATTAGAGGTTGTTAAAAACTAAACAGGTTGTTGGATCAGTTATTTCGCCACTCTGTCAGTTGACTCATTTTGTTTGCCATTATCTCATCTTTGTTGGGCTTTTATGTCAATCTTAGACAGTTAAAATCAGCGATGTTAGCATGGTGCGATATTAATAATTAGTACAAAGCAAAGTAGATTAGCTCATATAGCAGCTTTTTGCTACTTCTGGTAGCCGCTTCAATGGAAATCCAACTTTATAGGATGTTTCAGGCTAAGTTAGCTGCTAAACCAGCTCAACCAGTAGCAGCGACACAAAAACAACTAACCTAACCCGACTTAAACCACTTGGTCAGGTATTGAGTGACACTGGTTTAATGATATAAAAGTACTCAAGCAACTGGCAGCTCTGCTCCTTCCAACTATAATCACAACAAGAAGAAATGCTGACTTTCTGAAACGAGAAGCAATCACATACGACGACAGCAAAACAGCTAACAGCACCCATCTTTAAAGTTGAACTTTTTAAAGAGACCTGACGTTAAAAATGGTTGTTTCTCACCTTTTAGCGGTCCGGTGTTTGGAGCCATTTTTCCTGCAGCCTGCATTTTTCCATCCACTTGCACAAAGGGGACGTCAGTTCCTGTTGAGTTGGTCGACGGAGTGTCGACCGACTTTTAGATGAAGTGCGGAAAGCGGCGTTTCTGCTAGGATGAGTCATATGGATAGACAGCGCCACCCCATGGACAAAAGTAGGTAGTGCATCTGTGGGCAACACGTGCAAAACAAGTTTTCATCAGATAGCTAACATGGTAGTAAGTAGTTGTTACACAAAATAATATTAAATAACCTTTGAAAGAATAGGAATAACTCTAGGTCTCCTTCTACTACTTGAATTGGAGTATGTTAGCAAACCATCCTTACACACACACACACACACACACACACACACACAC